GCACATGACAGCCCAAGAGACAATGACCTATCTTACATGTATTTTTTCTAGTGGTCTGTGCTTCATGCAGTCAAAACTGCTTCTTTAGCAGAACAAACACACACAGGGCTACCACTTTTATGAATCTAGACATCACACACCATATCGTTTTGCCTCACCACTTTTACACATGTATCTGAGTTCATTTGCTTTGCATGCACAAATGTGCACCATTTGTAGTTTAAATGAGTCAGCAGGAGGCCTAGCTCACACATTTGGGAGATGTCTAGACTAGCAAAATTGTGTTTTTTAAAAGATGGTAGCTAGCTTAGTTTAACCAACGTACTTTAAACACCTGGTGTAGGCAGGACAACCTGTATTTTGACCAGTGTCGGCTGATTGAGATAAAACCTAGGCCTTCAGCTGGCTAATACTCATGAAAATACAATGTGTTCTGCCTATGCTAGGCATTTAAAATGTGTTGGTTAAAACATATTTTAACTTTTCTCTTATTTGAGACTTACTCTAGTGTAACCCATTGGTCAGTGTGTGGTACAGATCCACCTCTGTGCCTGATCTGCAGACCATATGAGTAGAGTCGGCCCTTGCAGGTTTTATAGGGTCCCTGGCTCTGGGTCAGCTTCCCTGACAGACTGCCTTGGAGTTAGGGTCCCCAGGGCTCCCCAGCTCCTTAGCAGCTCGCCAGGTGGGCTGTCGTGGTTCCAGGGCTCCCTAGGACCCAGAGGACTTGGGGGCACCAGCTCCCCAGTGAGATGGTGACCAGTTCTCCATCTGGCTGGCTACCAGGGGAGCCAGATGGCTGGTTCCCCATCTGCCTGGGTGCTTGGGCTGCCCTCCTGGAGTGGAGGTGGATACTCAGCTCCTTGGCTGCTGGCCAGGAAGCCAAGCAGCTGTTCTGTGAAAAGTTCTGAGATTACTGTTTTTCGTTCCACTACAGAACTAATTTTTTCCCAAAAATCTTGGAAATTTTTGCAAAACGAAAAATCTCACTCCAGCTCAGCTCTACGTATAAATCTGTTATAGCTCCAGCAGCCTAAGGTGAGTTGTCTCTTTATCTCAAACTGTAACAGCTCCTGCTTTTAGCTCTGGACTTCCCCAGTTTAATCCCCAGTGTGTCAACCAAGATGGCAGCTGTTACACTGTCACTCACAAGATAGGTGCAATGTCACTCTTGTGTAATCCAGGTTGAGTAGGTAAATGTTCTTTGGCCACAGTTCCTCTTCACTCTTCAGCTTGTTGTGTAACGGGTGGTTTGTGTCTAGGAGATAAGATAGTATATACGGTGTCCTGCTGGGAGGTATATCACGTTGCAGGGAATCATGGCTATAAACAGCCATGGTGCAGGTTATAACTCTAAGTCTGTCTGTAAGAACACACAACTTGTTTTTGGGCAAGAAGGGTCCAACTCCTGTTTTTTCAGTTATATTATTTTTGGGGGGAATAGGGAAAACCAACCACGTCAATTTTGGATCTTTCTGTTGGGGGCTGTCAGGACAAATCACCATCTCCCATAAAGTCTGCAGGAAAGCTGCACATAACTTAATAATGACCTTTGGTATTAGCTTTGCATGCAGCCCTTCCCAACTGATGAGCCTCAGAGAGGAGTGGAGGCCCAGAGGCTGCCAAAGGCAAGGTGAGGGGCTAGCAGTTCGGGTCTGGTGCTGTCAGGGTATGCTGAGGGGTAGTGCAGAGGCATTGGGCTCCAGTGGCTGCCCTAACAGCCATGCATTTTGCAGGATGATCCTCCTATAAACTTTTCACTCAGTGTAAACAATCCAGTGGGAATTCTGTCAGGGGAATCTCTACTTAGCTATTTCTATGGCCACCATTGACATACTATCTAACACCTCCAAAACATTAATGCATATAGCCTCATGACATCCCTGAGGACCGGGGAAGTAGTATCCCCATTTCACAGAAGGGGAATTGAGCACAGAAAGATTAAATGACCTGACCAAGGTCACACAGGAAGTCTGTGGTACAGCTGAGAGTTGACCTTGGACCTGCTGAGTGCTATTCTAGTGCCTTAACACCAGATCATCCTCCCTCTCCTCACTGGGTTTGCAGACTCCTATATGGTTTCACCAGGGGAAGGGATGAGACGGGCTTTAATCAAATCTGTGCTGGGATCTTGTATGCTACTGCTGTCTGCTTCCTATTTATTTGCACATGCTTTGACCCTCAATCAATCTGAAGTTGCTCTCAGACACCAGTGCCATGCTCCAGGATTTTGATTACCCCATCTATCAGTGTCAGACTTAAAGGAACAGGAGGTAGACAGACAACTGTTGTATCAGGGCTGCAGACAGAGCTGGGACCCTGAGTTTGTCATTAGAGAGAAGGTCCCCATTGGTGGTGGTGGGAAGCAGAGGGGGAGCACAGGGCACCCACTAGTGGTGGGGGGGAGTCGTGGGGTGGGAAAGGGGTGTCAATCTCCAGGGGTGAGGCCTGAGGGAGCAGGCAGTGAGTGTGGGAGGAGCAGCTGAGGGGGAACAGTCCCTGGGGCAAGGATCCTGAGGGAGTGGGAGCTGAAGAACGGTGGGGGGCAAGGAGCAGCTAAGTGGGTCTTGGGGTCTGTTTGTCCTCAGAGAATCAGGAAGCACTCTCTCATCTCTCTGGGAAGAGACTGGGGACAGACCCTTCTCATCCAGAGCCATCTTGTCCACTAGCAGTTGCACCTTCAAGGGAAGGTGAATGTCCATTGCTGTGCTGCAAATTCTGCCAGCAGGTGCTGAGCTCTTGGGGGATGAAGGCTGTGCTGTTGGCCAACAAAGAGATGGACCTGTACGCCTCCAACATCCCACCCACCAAGTAAGTCCCCTTCAGCTACCACCAGCGAGCATCTCAACAGCTGACTAATGTTACAGTAGTGCCTAAAGACCTTAATGAGTAGGAATCCCTCATTGTGCTCAGCACCATACAAACCAATAAGAAGGCCCAGTTCCTGCCCCACAGATCTCAATCTAATCCTTATAATTCCATATGGCAGACAGGCAAGTAGTAGTATTCCCAATTCACAGCAACAGGCACTGAGGCACATCACAATTTTTTTTCTCAACTTTAAAATGTGGAATTTTCTTGGTGTTTGGTTTTAAATATTTTCCTGTGAGAACTGCAACTCAATCACTGCAGTGTTGTGTTTATGAGCCTTCTGGAAAGTAACTAGCCTTTAAACAGAAGTGAAAGTGACTTGAAAGTGTCAGTTTGACTCCTGTTTAAAGTCAGTTTCTAGTCTATTATTATTTGTGGTAGATAACACCCTTAGAGCCCCAGGCAGGTGCAGTATAAACTCATGGGGCCTTGCACTAGTAGGATGTTTCCAAAAGTTAAATGATCTATTCCAAGCTTGGTGAACTGCAAGAAGTAAGTAGCCTAAATGATAGAAAGTAATCTAGATTTTTCTTCAGTTGTTTCAGTTGTTGTATTCAAGAGTTAGTAACAAAGTAAGAATATACATTAAAATTTTAAACGGAACCAGTGTCCCTTATGTGACTTTGCCACAAGATGTCAGAACATGTTAGTATTAGAACTGGAAATGTATCTCAGCCCGGATCCCCATTCTGCTACTCCACCCTCAAGACTGCACACTCTCCTAGCTAATGGCTTAGATGAATGGATAATAAGAATGTTCATTGGCATATCTTGTACATCCAGCCTGGCAAAAATAAATGTTGGTTTTTCTTTAAAGTCCAGTTGTGGTCAGAAAAGCGGTTCTGTAAAAATGTTACCACAATGAAATACATCTACTTTCTCTGTTTCAAGTCAAATCTATTTATTTTATGGATACAAACATGTTTTTATTCTTAATGGTGCAGGAACCAATATCAGTCAAGGAAAGCAAACTGTATTCTTTTTGGCCTCATACATGAACAGAATTGTTGAATGCATTGCTGGTGAAGATGAAAGAAGCAGAAAGAACCCAATTTGAATTCAGAGTTAAGCAAGGATAGGAATTAAAAAAAAAATTCTTGTTAACTGATTAAATTTAATCTGGAGTCAGAGAATGAATAACTATGTGTTAAGGCTCCAAAACTGATACCTCAAGGCTTGGAATTGGGAATATCTTGCTGTATTATCCCCTGATTGTTCTAAATTTACATATAAATTTAAAATATGGCTTTAACTGGTGTTTGTGTGTATATATATATATTTCTTTCTTTATATAGGAATTAGATACAGTGCTCCTGTCAGCTAATTTCTAAGTTATCTGCAAACAAAAAACACCAAAAAACCAACAACCCCAAAACCAAAAAATAACCAAGCCCCAAAACAAAAATAACCTAGAGTTTTCAGGTGCCTAAGTAATCCCTGGAATCACAGGTAAAGTTGCCTCCCCCCCTTACGAAAGTCTGAAATGGTGCCCCAGTTGGGAGTTGTTTGAGTGTGTCGGGGGGGGGGGGCGGTTCGTTCAGTTTATCTTATGTGGCTTGGGAATGGTCTTAAACTAAACTGAAAAAAGTCACTTTTATACTGGCATAAGAGTGTCCAGATCGGGGAGTTATATGAGTTTAACTATACTGGTATATTTATACTGGTATAACTGATAAAACTTTATTGGGTAGACAAACTCTGTCTCTGCAGAAAAAGGGGACTTAAGCTCCTAGAAGCACCCAACTGACTTGAACATTTTACCCTTTGTCTTGTTCAAATTTTTTTTTTTAAGAATTCACTTAATTTTCTGTTCCCCTAAACTCGCACCCTTCCCCAGCCCCAAAGACATAACCTTAAATGTAATCATTAGTTGGAACAACTGAAGCCTTTAATCTGGTGCAGATGCCTAAAAAGGTTGAAAGCCCCTGGTATAGATAGCCTAAAATTGCCTTGAAGAGCTACGCAGTTGCTTGAAGTAAGTAAAACTAAAGAACTGCAAATGATTTCCAAATCTGTATCTGTTATTTCTCCATAAAGAATGTTAAAGCAACCTTAAACAGATAAATAACTTACAAAGTTGAGTGTTTTTTTCCTTTTCCTTCTTTTTTTTTTTAAATATCCAATTGCAGATGGACCAGAACTCCATGGAGCTGAGAGATCAGTCCTGTCCTTTCCTTGGTGCAATTACATGACCACTTTAGGCTCTCAGGCATGTGAGGAAGGAGAAGAAAAACAAGATGTGCAAGGATGTAAGTCAGGCTATAACCATGAACACCTAATCAATGCCATCAAACAGCTGTCAAAGGAGATGCTACCATCTTCCTTGTTGTTGAAAGGCAACCCAAGAGTCCCTGAAGACACAGTGTCTGGGACATGTAGGTGAGAATTCTTCAATCTCTTCCTCAAATTTCAATCCTTTGGATGTTTGCCTACAGAGAGGGCAACACCAATAAATTGCATTAAATATAAATTAATACAGTAGAAATTTTTCCATAGATATTCTAGATACATCACTGTTATTGCCCATCTCAGAAGACTCATTGGGTGATGACTTACCATCTCCTCTTTTATTGTCCAGTTCATGAGTTAATCCTTCTGGCTGCCATTTGAAGCTGTGGGCAATTAATAATTCATCACTGTATGCTGAAAGCATATTGTGTTGTGTGAAAGAGATGTAATATCAAAATATATAAAATAATTTCTGGAGTCATTGATTTGACCTGCTCTCTCTTTCTCTTAGTCTTTTGGTAACGTAAGGAGTGGAATTTGAGCGTTATTACACTAGGGTTTTATTAATAGGTTAGTGACTGTAGAAATAAAAACAACAAAATCTATGTGTATAATTTGAAGGCAAACTCTCCCCTCCATTAATCCAGCCTTAAAGACCTGCTGTAAACAAATGCATTTCAAGGGAAAGTTGCTGAAAAAACAAAATCCATTTTTGAAAAAGTAAACAAGATACAAATGTCTGTCTAAAAACTCTAAACTTTGAGTTGTTAGGGGAAAAGAACAATTTTATTAATTAGGTGATCAATTATTGCCATATTAGGATACCACTTCTTGGGCTGGTCCAGTGCAGCTTGTGTTTGTTTGGGATACTTTTATTATCCTCTTTGGCCATCAATAATGAAATTGTTCCGGTGAGTTATTTAATGTAATTGCTATAATTCTCTAATCTGAACGTTTACATCAATGTTTTGGGCTGATTACAAATACATTCACCATATTTTATCTATGTTGATTTTTCAACATCTGTACCGATTGTGTTCTGAAATAAACAGCCATGCTTGAGCTGTGAGAGTTTGCTCGTATTTCAAACTTTGTTTCCAATCGTTCAGTGGTTCTCAACCTATTTATCATTGTGGGCCGCATCCACTACTACCTGTATGGCCCTGAGGATGTCACATAGGCTGCAGCTGTGTGCTGATTGGGCTGCAGGTTGAGAACCACTGATCTAGGCCTAAGAGTATTGCAAAGGGATGGAGTATCAAATGCACTTTTCCCTTTATGGCTATAAATCAGACCCTTAATTCTACAGTGTAAACTCTCTCTAGTTTGCTATGTAATACCACCACTTTCACATACATCTTCCAAACATGTAATAAACATGTTTATCGCAGTATGGGATATGCACCAATTGCTATCACTCATTAATGAGTGCACAATTGACTTGCACAACCTTGAACCACACTGTGTGCGTGAAGTATGAATGAGAAGTAAACAGTTTGTTTCTCTCTCTGTTCTTTTGCACAGAGCAACCTGTTAATATATGTGTTATAAATAAAATGTTCCTGTGACAGAGACTTTAAAGAGCCATTTTAGGGTGCATGCAACCTCTTTGCTTATGTCACATATAGGACTCCAGACTTGAAAACTGTCCATTGCCTCAACTGGAATCTGCTGTTCCCATCAACATTCCCTCCTGCCTCCTTCCCCCAGCCCACCTTTGCTCTCTGAATTAGACAGCTGAATTTGAAACAGATTTACTTAAAAATGCATACAAAAGGGCATGGGGTGTATTAAACTTGAGAAGGATGACAGTGCCAGTCTGACTCATGGTTTGCCAGTCATAAAATAATATCACTGGTAACTCATGTAGCTACTTGTTTGCTCAGCAATGAACCAATGTGTTATGTACCCTGTATGTGCATTGCACTCAAACAGCTGGAAAGCACAATTAGCATAAAATTGTGTGTGTTCTTACATATAACATCACATTGGTATTCTTGCTGTTGAGATCATATTTGCTTGCTGTAAGGAGCCATCTAGTGAGGGTTTACTGTACATAAAAGTGAAGAAACTGTTTTTAGCATTTTCATCTATGCCTGGAACTCTCTAAGTAAAAGTGACCAAACATTTTATTTTTGTGTCCTAATTCTGTAGTCCTAACTATTGCAAACAATAACATTACCATGTAGGAGTGGTGTGTTGTACTTAGTAATCATGTGGTGACCTTTCCTCTTTTTAAGAAATACCAGATCATAAAATATATACTTGATCTGATTCAGACTTGGCATTACTCCACTGCCTTCACTGGAATTGCAACAGGTTTGAATTTGGCCTACTGCCTTTAATTTCCTTGCCTGAGCATTTTAGTAAACACGTGTGGAGCTCCAGATACACCGTGTGCCTGCCCACTTGAATTTCCCTGCCAGACCTTGAAATTATTATTTGCATGACAGCAACACCTAGAGACCCCCACTGTACTACATGCTGTACAAACACATAGTCAAAGACAGTCTCAAATTGCTTATAATCTAACTAAAGAAGACAGACAATGTGGGGGAGAAGGAGGCAAAAGGCTGAATTATCATCTTATTTCACTGATGGGGAGCTGAAGCACAGAGAGATTCAGTGATGTGCCCTAGAAGATCACACAAGGAGTGTATGGCATAGCTGGAAATTTACCTCAATCTCCTGAGTCGTGATTCAAGACCTTAGCCAGTTAAGACCATCCTTTCTCTCTTACATAAACACAGGCAACATACTAGTCAGTCATTTGAACAGCGATCACTCTTGTTTAATTTTTTTCTTTAAAAACTCCCAATGAAATTAAACAGAACAAAAACGCTACAATACAGCTGAGAATGTCAATACAGCAAAAACAGGAAACTCTAAGTTAATGCACCCACATCAACAATGACACAGCTATGTTGCAAATCTATATTGTTATCAATTTAACAACCTACAGTGTACTGCAAAATGCTACTGTAGACATGCTATTAAATACTAAACTGTTAAGTCTGTCATGAGAATGGAAGTGCCTTGCCTGCTCACTTGGGGGGGGTAGGGGGGGGGGAGTTGAGACTTTTTGCTGCGCCCCTGGAGGCCCAATACAGAATGCACATCCCTGAGATGGGGGAAATACAGATGGTTTGAAGTCACCTTTGTGCAGGAGCAGAGCTGATCTGTGTCTGCTGATTCGTGTGTGTGTGCGAGGGGTGCAGAGTGAGGGCAGCAATCTTCAGCAGTGTTACTGAGCATGCTCACTACAAGTCAAGCAGGAAATCGGGGGAATGTGACCCTGTTTCTTCTCCCCACTCCACGTGTTGTCTCTGCTCAGTAATCTGGACTGTTCTGGGGTCTAAAACAGCATCCTGTGTAAATCAGAGCTGTTTTCCCATGCCCTGCTTTACCCTAGCAGCCTTAGGGCTGCTCATGGGACGCTCCACAATCTGAAGCATTCTGGAATCTCCCTAGAGGGGTTCACTAGGGACAATCCTCCTTTGCCATTTGAACACCTCTTGTGGTGGGAGTTTGCAAGGGGGTAGCACAGAGCCACTTACAGTAGCCTTATGTTGTGTCTGCACTGGGGGGGATTCTCCCCTGGCTTCTTGCAGATAATGCCAGCTCCTGTACTCTACCAGAGTGGGACAGAGCGGCTGGGCAGAGGAAAGTATCTGACCCTAAAAAGATTATAATGCCTCAGACAGGGACATTGTTATGTTTTTCCATGCACAAAGAATAACCAGTCTAAAGCTGGGACTATTTTAGATAGAATCAAAAAAGTCTCTATGGAGAGCACAGTGTGTCTCTCCTCTGTACTGACTATAATTCTGAGAACAAAATGGCTGCTGCAGAGTTTTTAGACATTTAAAGGTGCAGTACACAGTAGACAAAGCCACTCCCTTTTCATAGCTACATTGTACACTGGTATAGTTAAAGTGGTGCAACTTTTGTGTGTAGACAAACCATTAGCCTACAAAATTCACCCATTGTTCCATAAAGAGGACATCACCCTGAGTTATTTTCTACCTGTCAGTAATTTTACACATTATTCCTGGCTATTTTAGAAAGTGCAAACAAAGAGCAGTCATTAAAAAAAATCCATATTCTAATAGGGTAAACAATACTTGATTGAATACCTAATTAATTTAAGAGGGAGAATTTAGTGGCTGTAACTAAAAGTTTAAAAAACAGACAAACAGAACCGTGCAAAATGTATTTGTTATGATAATTTCATCACAGATTTTAAAAGTTTAGTTTTATATTTGCAATTTGTGAGCTGAGAGAATCAGCTGAATTCAGTCAAATTGGTTTGTTCTTTGTCTATCTGTGGTCACCATAGCTACCATTTCAATCTGTTAACATATGTGGTATTATTTTGTTCCCTTCTCTTAAACTCTTTATTCACAGATGCTGTCAAGATTTCCCTTTGTACATATCTGATCTGTTTGTGCCAGATTTGGCTCTGTGCCTTTTCAAATGAGAGTCTTAGAGATGGCTACTAAATGATTAGATACTCAAATAGTACAGCAATGGGGACTAGGTATAAGCACCTAGGTAGAGATTCTACGTCTATGATTCCAGTAGAGAGCAGTGGGTCCTGGGGAGAAATACATTGGGAAGACAACATAGGAGGTCTCTCTTTTGCTTATATGATCTATAGATGTAGGCCTTTTTAGGTGTGTTGGGCCAGAACTTCAGCTGGTGTAAATCAGCATAGATCCATTACATTCAATGGAGCATCACCAATTTGCACCAGCTGAGGCTCTGCTCCTGTAATGGGGTTCATTATAAAATTGTTTTGTCAGGAGCCTAGCGCTCAAGGGATGTACAGTTAATACATCTGAACAAATAAACAAATGACATTTGATATCTTCTATTTTCTTTTTCTACTTTCAGCTCCATAGAGCAGGTTCACACTGCCACTGAATAGTGGTGTGTATCTGCTCTGTACAGTGTAAACGATCAGCAGTATTTAGCTGATATAAAATTATTCAGATTTCAAATCTGAACTGGCATAGCATGAAAAATAAGCTGTTTTGTGAATGGGAAGACAATTAAGGCAACTTGTTTTTCTCTTCTGGCAGTGTAAGAAGCAGGTAACAATCCTGAGACTAGTACATGTACTGTACAATTTGTAATGTGGAAGCCACAGGGAAATCAATCAACCTGAATATATACTGAGAGTTCATTTTCAGAGTGAAGCTCTGGCTAGAATTTTTTTCCCTTTCATGTAAGGCTTTTTAAAAACCCTTTGGTTAAAAGCACATTGGGCCTGATTTTCAAAGGGACTGCTGAGTGCCCACACCTCCTGTTGACTTTAACAGGTGTTGTAGCTGTTCAGAACTTCTGACAATCAGGCCCCTAACTCTAATTCATGCAGAGAGTAGCTGGAGAAGCTGTCTCTGAAGCAGTATTGTAATGAGGGGTTAATTCAATTCTGTCTGTCTCTCCTTCCTGCCTTTCAGTATAGATGAAAGAGTGATGGGGAGTAACATTATCTGCACCAAAAGGGAAATTTTGATTTCCCAATCCTACCTTCCCCTGAGCAGGGATGATATCATATCACGACTCACAGTAAGTCACAGCTGCTTTTCCAATATAAAGCCTATTTTGGAGGATTCCTAGCTCAGCTATAAAAATTCACTGAGCATGTGTGAATAGAAACCAAATTGACAATACAGACCATAACAGCTCTGAAAGGGCCATTAGTGCCTGTCATGTGAAAACTCTATTTTTTAAAGAACAAGTATTATTCACATTTACACAAGAGACAGTAACTGCTCCTTTTAAATCACTACTGCCTATCAGAGAAACAGACCTGAAGAAGAGCTCTGTGTGACTCTCAAGCTTGCCTCTCTCACCAACAGAAGTTGGTCCAATAAAAGATATTACCTCACCCACCTGGCCTCTGTATCAGAGAAACAATCAGAACCAATACCACGATACATAGAAACACCGGGGGCAGATTCTTGTTCTTGAATAAACTGATGTCAAACCAGAGTATTTCCATTGTTCCAGTGGAGTTATGCCAGTTTTATGCCAGTCACTTCAGATTTACACTG